CAACCTCTCACTATCCCCCCCCCCCCCCCCCTCAGTACACCATGCTTGCAATGCCCTCCCTCACTCTTATCACTGCTTCTCTTTGCCCACCATGCACTTGCCAATAAGCCCTGTTGTGCCCACCACACTCTTGCCAACAATCCTGACACTTGTAACCCCTCCCCCAATTGCTTGCATGCCCCCACCCCTTGCTCTTATCACCTCAAACCTTACCTGTTCTGGATCAGGCACATGTTTGCTAGTTTGTTATTAAACCTGTTATTTACCTGAAAACAGGTTTTGACTTTAGAAGGGCTGGACATTGTACAGCAGTGCACATAAATACACATACCAATGCCTATTACGTGTATTGACATGAATTTCCTTTTGATTTCAATGGGAAGCGCATTATTCCTGAGAACAAACAAGTGTGATTGAACCCTCCCATAGACAAAAAGGCTAAAGTCAGAGCCGGGTGCAATGATCTGCGTTTTTATAGGTTAAGTAACTTCTGTGTTTTTATTCAATACCAGATTATCTTTGTGCACCATCAAATTGTAATGTGTAAGATTACAGATTTCTTTACAGTATATTTCCTTGATGAATAGTCTTTACATATGTTGTGTTTTCTAACACCGTACATATAAATTAATTCGCTGCACTATCTGCTTTTATAGTTTTACTTTTTGTTTCCCATAGGAAATACGACTTCAGTCACCTGTGTTGTCCAATAAGATAGCTAAGAACCCAGAGAATAAAAACAGGAACAGATACAGAGATGTTAACCCATGTAAGTACACTTGATCGTTTTAAACTTTGTGTGAGGTTAGTTTTGTGCGTTGTGTGGGGGTTTTTTTTGTTTTTTTTGTAGGTGCCAGACCCGGAAGTCCTGGTGTTTTTAATTAAAGTACAACCTCACCACAAACTTTGAAGGGGCGGACTTATAAATATTCTTCCCAGCATATAGCTGGGTGGATGCTATTCTCATGGCACTAGTGCCCCAAGATGGCTCTGAGGAGCATAGAAAATGTTGTTGTCCTCTGTTCAGTGCTCAGTTTCGTGGAATCTCACGGAGAGTGATTTATCCTTTTCAGTTTTCTTAGGAACACCGAATAATTGGCTTTTAAGTTGTTGAGAGGGAGAGTAGGTAGGTCTGAATAGTTTGGTGGGAAAAGACTGGGCAAGGCTGATGAGATTCATTCTACAGAAATGCAGTGTGTTGTTATCTCACAACAGTACAAGTAACTGAGTGCATTTTTTTGCAGTTCAACAGGTATTTTTTTTGTATTTACAGGGTGTTTAAAGAGATTACCTAAAGAGAAATATGTGTATATGTATTACAGAGATGTGCTGCATACATATATTTCTTTTTTACTATTCAGCCCTGAAACACACATTAAAGAGAAACTAATGCAGATAAAACCAAAATAAAAACGCCAGTTCATGCAGGTATGTGTTAAAGAGGAGTTTTACCCATATCTTCAAAAAACAACAAAGGCACCTTTTTAGAAATGTTTAATAATGACAACCAACAAAACGGATACTTATAGGTAATTGCTGGCTTTTTTTATGGATATCTTATTTTTCTTTTCCTCCCCATTCTTCTGTCAGTGGCCATTCTTACTAAGGGCAAGTTACTAGATCTCCCCTTTCTTTCTGGAACTCTGGAGACTACGACATGTGACCATGCACATTATCTTAGGGGAGGAAAATCCCTTTCCCTGAAATGTTGTGAGATAACAGGTGAGATTTCCCAGCATTGCTCTGCTGATGTAACCTTCCCAGATTGCAATACTTGGGCACGATTACATCATTTGTGCCAAAGTGGATCAGGAAGCAGGAAAAAGAAATTGTAAGTAAATGTTATGTGTAAGATTTCATTTCGGAGAGCTCATTCACATTTATGCATTATGGTAACACACAAAGTGCATGCAGGAACCATATTGCGTGCCATCCGTTCTTAACAGGGCACCCCAATGCAGTGCTGCAATAGCGCACATGACTCTGTAAATGTCCTCTGCTTCCTCCTCTTCACTATCCAGCCACAGGCTCGAACAAGACCTATTTTTGGATAACTTTATTGCGGTAGAGAAAAGTGAGCAGGCTGTTTGTGATTCTGCTGTTGCATTCGGCCATTAACCATTCAGGAGGAACCAGAAGTCTTGCCATTGTAACAGAAGTAGAAAAGATTCTGTCTTGGGCACAACTTCAAGCCTTGTCCACTGTTCAGACTACCTCTGCCAGCAGCGTTTGAACATGGAGTGGTCTCTACACCAAGAAGTGTTAAGGAACCTGTCCCTGTTAGATGCCAGATTCTAATCTCCTGTCCTCCCAGAATCCTCAACACATTTAAAGGTTGCAGTGGGTGTTCTGCTGCCCTCGTGGGATTTGGACACCTGATGCACACCTTTCCTACCCCAAAATTCCTCTCAATGCTAGAGGGCATTGCAGTAATGCTCATTACTCTGCACTGGCACATGCGGATGTGATATTCCAGTCTAATAAGACTTCTGCCAAATGCTTTGTGGGCTCCTCCATATCATCTGATCCTCTGACTGATATTTGTCTTCCTGCTTTACAGTTGCTGGCCATAAAGGGGAAGCGGCTTCATGTTTTACCACTTTTTTTGTAGGCTCAAACAAAACATCATCTAAGCTTATGGTCTTTAAAGGAGACTCACTCACCTCATAGTTCTAGCCGACCTGTGACAATGAGACTGTCACAGGTCGGCTCAGTAGATCGGGAGGTGAGCGAACACATACCGCCGTGACGGGAGGGGCGGGTACAGCTGACTCTGCCTCTAGATAGGCAGAGCCAGCTGTCAGTCATGCAGCTGGGCAGATCCCGGCATAATTGTCGGGCTCCGCTTGAGGCTATGGTGACGGGAGGACGCTAGTTTGTGTCCTCCCGTTACCCTTAGGAGAACTATGGGGAAAAGCCTTAACCCCTATAGTTCTCATTTAAAGGAGAACTATGGGGTCAGGGCTTTTCCCCATAGTTCTCCTAAGGGTAACGGGAGGACACAAACTAGCATCCTCCTGTCACCCTAAGCTCCGTATACCGCGAGCTTAAGCTTGCGGTTTACTGAGACGCCGCAGCCGGGACGGATCCCGACATTACTGTCGAGATCCACCCAGCTGTGGGATTGACAGCGGGCTCTGCCTATCTAGAGGCAGAGCCAGCTGTGCCCTCCCCCGTCCGTTCCGCCAGTCAGCGCTAGAGGATCGGGGAGGGGGGGAATCCCTGCAGGGAGCTGTGAGTGACAGAAGTGAGCGAGCGACGCTATATGTTCGCTCACTTCCCTATCGAGCTGACCTGTGACAGTTTCATTGTCACAGGTTGGCTAGAACTATGAGGCTGTGATTTTTCACTTGGGAGTGATTTAACGAGGGAGTGATTTTTTTTTTTTTTACTTGCCTCATAATTCTCCTTAAGGATTGGTTTCCACTCTTCCATATCAAGGCACACTCTACTAGACCTGCGAGTACTTCTTGGGCTCGTCAGCATCAGGTTACCATTTCCCAAATTGGCAAGGCTGCCGCCTGGTGGTCTGTTCGCATGTTTCTAAAATTTGCCATACACTATTTTTTGTTTTTTCTTGTTCAGCCCACAGTCCCACCCCTCTTTATGGTATTGCTTTTGGTTTAAGCTGAGGCATGCTGGGAGTGGGGTTTATACCAGACTGGTCTGTTTTTGTTTTTTTTGGCGTATGACCTCCTGGTTACACTGTGTGAATCTGTATTCTGGACATTACTCAAAGTGATATAAATGGGGGAATTATAAAAGAATCTTACAAAAGTATAAATATCCATTAGTCTAATTTCCATTTTCTCTGATATTTTGCTTTTTCTCCTACTTTCCTTTTTTCTTTTGTTCTCTACAGGTCCTTGCTCTTGTGTGGTGAAGCAGAGCACCCTTTGTTTTTTGGGGGCTTGCTCGGGTTTTTTTTTTCAGTCTTTGTCTGCTCTTTCTAGCAGCTGCAACATATAATAGGTTAAGGGTACACTAGGGCATCCTCTCTCTGTGGGTTAACATGCCCCACAGGTTTTGCAGGGAATGCTGGCACCCTCCTATGATATGTTGACATGCTCCTAGATGTCTATTGTGGTTGTATTATGTTTCTGATCTGTGTTCTTATATGGTTGCTTCTTTTGTTATATGTTTATCTGTTATACTTTCAAATAAAGAATTTTGTCTTTTTTTTTTTTTTTTACACTGTTTTATAATTTTCCCTTAGTTTCCTCTCCCTATTAAAATCTGTCTCGGGCTCTAAAGTTTGCTTTACCATAGATCTAACCTGGAAATTGTTGGTTAGACATGCATAGGAGTGTAGAAAGAGTTCAGCTCAGCATGTAGAATAGATTTGCTGATTCACAATAGTGATTATTTTTCTAGTGATCACTAAGCATTCTTTAGTGGTTTTTTTTTTCTTCTTGCACTTTATTGGGAGACGTTTTTGTTATCCCAGTTATGCACTCAACTTGCTTTTCTTAGAAAATAGCGGTCACGGTGCACTAAGAATGACACCATGACTTCTTGTAAAAACCACAGTATTTGAAGCACAAATTTGCACCCTTCAAGAATAGAGCAAAATAACATCTTCCATGTAGTCACATTTTGGCTTTCAACTATATTTTTTTTCAGTTTATGGTAAGGAAATAACTTTGTTTCAAATCAGTTATTAACACTAAAGAAATAACTGCTGCTGTTCTGAAATAATTGCATGAAACTTTACAGTTTGTGTTAGGATTTGCAGTACGTTGCATTATGCATTCTAATTAATGCAATGGCAACTGTCCAGTGCAGTTCACACATGTGGTGGTGTTGTGTGTTAAATAGAGTTCATGCCACATTCTGGAGGTTTTGCCGCTGGACAAATGCCATCATTGAAGTATATTGAAATGCCCTTTAAACGCTCGGGTCAGTGCTCCTATAGCATTTTTCGGGCATTTAAGAAGTATTGCACAGGTGTTGTAGGAGAGGCATAGGAGGTTTTGCAATGCCAGAAACCACTGGGGAATCAAAGGGAATGGACCGAACAGGTGCAGATGCCACTTCCTGTTTGCACACAGCCCGCATTTTGCCAGCAAGGGTACAGCTTTTAGCCAGGTACTTGCAACCTGTGACAGCCTGACCTATGCCACCCTGTAGTGCTAGCTTTTTATGTTCTGTTGTTGTCAAGAGACAGACAGTTGGATCTATATTAATGCGGCAATACACAGCACAGAAAACCAACAATATGACTGCACATTTCGCCAAAACCTAACCACACCTCAAAGCTAGTCACTTCCCTTTTTATTACATCACTTCCCCTTTAACACTCCCTTACTTGCAGTGCATTTTGCAAGCGTTTTTGATACCTCCTTTTAATGCCTTGAAAATGGCTCTCGAATGCCTTGTTAACACTATAGGCACGTTGATCAACGTTGCTCTTTCATTAAATTCTCAACGCATGTGTGAAAGAACCCTAAGAGAGGCTCTCTGTGCTAGTTAGAACCTGCAAAAGTCGGCAGAACCTGACTGGCTAATGGCTCATGTTGATGAATACGCAGTGTTGGAACTGCAGCAAAGCAGGTTCAAAAGCTGCTTTTTCTTGTCAATGCACCTCAATATGACGTGATGAGTCCAAGGTAAGCACAATGTAAAAAATGTCAAGCAGCGTCTGAGCTGTCGTGTGCACTGCTCAATTTAGTGAATTTTGCTGACCTATGTTTTGACTTGCGTTCCCAACACGCATTTAGAACTCAGGAAATTGATGCCCTTCGACCTAGATCCTTAGAGTACTTCCCT